GGTGTTCATACAGACACAACTATGTACACTGAAGAGGTGTAAATTAACACTAAAATCAGTGTTAACTGACACCTTTTCGGTGTCCCCACAGAGGCAAGAATTTACACCGATTTTGGTGTTGTGGCAACACTCCCAGATTTACAGTGTAGTCTTAACACAGTGTCACGTCGCCTATCGAAATCATCGAAACATGTTAGGGCTAACGTGTTTAAATAAATTTTTATGTATGTATGTGATTGATAGGTTGTGTAATCTTGTGTTTGCATTTGTGCAGATTGCGTGTAATTGGCAAAGCATAATAAGTAAATAAATAAGTAAATTTTACGATTTTCTGCCTGATTTGTCCTTGATATTTTGTTATTAAGTAATAACAAATAAACGGTTTTGGCTGCTCGTCTCATTAACATTTTTTTTTAACACTTTTGCTTTAAACATATTGTTTGGCAAGAAACAATGAGAGGTGAATCGCTTTTCTTTTTTATTTTTATGCACAATGTGAAGAAACGTGATTTTCAGTGGCAATTTTCGATCTGCTCGTATATGGTAATTTTGTTTGAAATTAAGATTCAAGAAGGTGTCATTGAAAAGCTAAAACCCTATATTTTTACTAATGTTTAAAATTCAACCGGTGCATTAAATCAATATTGAGTGCACAAGAGCGCGCTAAATTTCGTTTAACTGTTTTTGATAAACCCTGCATACAGCTATTTCAATTAAGGTTGTCCCCGGGCAAAGCGGAAAAGTTGAAAACGAGCGCGAAAGGCTTGCAGCCTTTCGCGCTCGATTCTTTCGCAGGGAACCGATTCTTTCGCAGGGAATCGCTAAAAAATCATTAATTTTTTAGCGATTCCCATCAAACCATTCGCGCTGGTATTCGACTTTTCCGCCTTTCTCTCGGACAACATTAATTTAAACAGCTATATAACTTATAAAATAACTAGAAAATACATGCGTGCAGATCGAAACACTCGCTTTGCTGACAAAACCATTGTATTTTCCAAACATGAAGTATTAAAGTAGTTGTCATGGGAACACGATAATTTTTTAAGAATATTTTTGCAAATGAATACATATAATATATATATATATATATATATATATATATATATATATATATATATATATATATATATATATATATATATATATATATATATATATATAAATATATTATACGTAATATAAACTTCAATTTAAGGTCAAATTCAACCGCAAACGCTTCGCAAAACATTTTAAAGTGTTCTTTCAATATATTAAAACTAAACTGCCTTTAGGCTTTATCGATCAAAACTTTGAGTTTGAAATAAAATGATTTAAAATTCTCGCATTTATTTAAAAAAATTAATCAATAAAGATACATGCACTGAAATTATATGCTGTCTAAGCCTGTCTTGTTTCATTTATATACGCAAAGATCCGCTTTTAAAGCAATTATAAAGCAAACAATACATCAATATTTATAACGTCAAACTTACCTTCGTTAACGTCGGCGCCTTTGTTTCCTTCCTTCAACCGATTCTTTCGCTTTTTTTCTCAAAAAGCTTTTGAAATTTACAAAATCTTTCAAAAATGAAATATATCATCAAATCAACTAATCAAGAAATGTTTGCTATTTTGCTGTCGTCATGCAGTCGTTATAATGCAAAATTTAAACTGGGCCAATCAGTGTTGGCTATTTATGACAGTCGCTATGTTATGAGGTCAGTGAGGATGACCACCCACGGCTGGCGACACACGCCGGCGATCATTGATGAACTTCAGACTTCGCTAATGATTTCCTTTCCCCGGCGGTAAATAGCCGGTCGGAATTACTACCCTCGCACGCCGTATCGCTTCGCGCCATTGGCTTGGGGAATATAACTGTATACGTAATCATGTTTAAATTTATTTATTTAGTTCAACTTGACAACTCTACGATATTGGCTAACGAACCAGTCAAATTAGTAAACAAACTTCGAGAATGGTTGTTCGGAACAGGAAGATGGAGAATATGTTGGCGTGCCAACGAACATGGTTGGGCATCCTCGGTATTTCGCGACAAATGCAGCGGGAAAAAACCGAATTTAGCGATCGTTAAATTTGTGAAGGATGGCAAGAATTTGATCTTCGGTGGCTATTGTACCGAAACATGGGATGGAAGTAAGTTTGATTAGTCAATTATAATAACTTACTGACCGAGAGTGAGGCAGTACGGGAAAATATCCAACCGAGGTCTTGCTGTTTTGACCGAGCGATAGCGAGGTCAATACAGCAAGACCGAAGTTGGATATTTTCCCTTCCTGCCCGAACGGTTGAGGTCAGTAAGTTTTTTATTATATGGCATTGTTCGTTTGTAAAATTGGGGGGAAATATCACGCGAGAGCAAAGTACAAAGCCCGGAACAATTGCAAAAAGAAACAATTGTAAAAAAATGTTCTCTTCGTTGGTAAAACTACTCTACAGCAATTTTTATTGAATACTAACAGAGTTTGGATAGTATTTCAAGAAAAATACGAGGTATCTCGTCATTAAACCAAAGACAACAAATATGAAAACAATAAAATTATGCATCGACAAGTATGTTTTTAGTGTCTTTTTATCCAACAAAAACAGAAATGTTCCGGGAAAAATTATAAATGTGTGACTGCAGTTGTATTTTTTATTTATATGGTATCAGATTCCTCCTGATCATCTGCAAATAAAATTTTCAGATCTTCACATAGTCAAAACACAACTATTCTTGATTGCTATAATAAAAAACGTATAAAAAATATTTACCTTGTTTATTCGACTTTCGCTAACAAAACGTATTGAGAAAGTTGTTTAACAACAGCAGTTGCTCCTTTTATCTATTTTAGGTTTATTTTTCTTCGTTTTGAATAGTTTGAAGGATACTTTCAGACACTCTTTTCCGTTTGAAACTCGACTCTCATCGCAGGGCAATAAAAATCGCGTATTGCCCGTGGGAATACGGGAAAATCCTGCCTCGTCAGCAGCCAATCAAATTGGCGATTCATCAAAACAAATGCTTGCCATATAATAATAGTATTTATTATCACATAGCTAAATATATGCATACCCTACTGTTGTTCGTATTGTACTTTGCTTAAAAATAAGATTAATTGTCTTAATTTAATGTTCAATTACTTTCAACTCAATAAAATTTGGACAATTGATAAAACTAGAATAGTGAAGCGAATAGTGCGAATAGTCGACGAATAGTACGAATGGTCCGCGAATAGTCGGCGAATAGTAGTAGTAGTAGAAGAAGTAGTAGTAGTAGAACTTTATTTATCCACGCTGACCCCGTCAACCGTAGCTGATTTCCACGGGTGGCGTGTGCCAGAAAATTATTTTACATGCAGAATATGATAAGGATAAGCTAAGCTATTACAGTAATATATAAATTTAAAAGATATAACAAATGTTCTGAGCTATTTACAGGTAAGTTATATTTACAAAGGTTACCAAGCACTAATGTGAGCAGCGATTTTATTTCGAAAGGAAGAAAGTGACTTGCTTTCCCTAATTTCTTTTGGTATAGAATTCCAAATGTTTGCTCCGTCGTACATAAAACTATTTTTCATGCTATTTGTACGTGGTTTTGGTAAATAAAGACCACTTGAGACATCTCGAAGGTGGTAATTAGTTTTCTCACTCTTAAACGAAAATAGATTTGTGAGTGATTTTGGGCCCAGTTTGTTTAATAACTTATACATCATTCTTGCTTTAGTTTTCTTCCTTTCAGTTTGGAGTGGCTCCCAGCCCAAAGTACGTAACGCAATCGTATAATCTACGTCATTGCTTATATTCAGAATAATTCTTGCCGCTCTATTTTGCAGTTTTTGCAGTCGTTTTGATTGAGTTTCGCCAAATACATCCCATACTTCACAGCAGTAGTCAAAGTACGGACGAACAATAGTGTTATATATCAAAATAAGTGTATCTTGATCAACAAATGGTTTGATCCGACGAATAGCACAGATTCCTGCTGTAACTTTTTTGCAAATATATTTTCGGTATTAATTTTCCAAGATAAATGCTGGTCAATTGTTACTCCTAGAGTTTTGCATTCATGAACTTGTTTAATTTGTATATTTTCAATGTAAACATTTGGGCAGGAATCAGAAATATTTTTGATCATAGGTTTAGAGCCAATCAACATAAACTCTGTCTTAGCTACATTGAGGCTAAGTTTATTGGCTATTAACCATTTTCTAAGGTTCTCTAAATCAGAATTTACTGCAGTCTCTAGGTCAGTCATAGAATTTGCTGAAGCAGTCAAATTTGTGTCATCAGCAAACAACCGCGGTTTTGTTTTGTTTAGACAATGTGGCAAATCATTGATGTACAACAAAAAGAATAATGGCCCTAATATAGAGCCTTGTGGTACACCACATTTAATCAAGCGCTCAGATGAAAATGAGTTTTTTATTTGGCACTTCTGGTTTCTGTTTGTGAGATAGGATTTGAGCAAAGTTAGAGCTTGTTCTTTTATTCCATAGAGCTCTAATTTGTTCAGCAGAATTTGCTGATCAACAGTATCAAAGGCTTTCTTCAAATCAATTAAAACTACTAGGTTAAACATTTTTCTGTCTAGATTTACATACCAATCATTAGTACAGTCTAGTAGTGCACTAGCTGTAGAGTGAAATTTTCGAAATCCAAATTGGGAATCACTGAGAAGCTCAAATTTTGTTAAATAGTTATACAGTTGATCATACAATATCTGTTCCATAATTTTACTAATGGCCGGTAAAACTGATATTGGTCTGTAGTTTCCAGGAATACTACGCTGGCCATTTTTATATAGGGGCATCACTCTAGCAACCTTCCATTCATCAGGAAAAGAAGATAAAGTAATAGCGTGATTGAAAATAAGTGTCGACGAATAGTACGAATAGTCCGCGAATAGTCGACGAATAGTACGAATAGTCCGCGAATAGTCGACGAATAGTCGATGAATAGTGCAATAGAGACTTTGCAAGGCTTTCCACCGTACGTGCTGCAGAACTAAATTTACCGAAGTGGGGCAGCTCCATTGGCAAACATGAAATCTTGAAAACATTCGTTGATGTCAATGACGTCATACGTAATCGGTAAAAATTACGGGACCACAGAATTTTAACAAATATTTAACAGGAAGTAGAATGACAATCACTACAATGACGTTTTCCACTGGACGAATTTGTTCGCGCGAAGCAACAAGTAAAAGAGTACGCTGATCCAATTTTTTCGCGGCGAATTTTGTCGCTGACCAATCACATCACACAGCGAGATCTCCTTATGACATTTAAAGCGATTAATGGCATGCTTCCAGAAGATGTAACACAACTATTTCATACTTGTGAAAACAATGGTTACGTACTGCGCAGTAGTAATTTAAAGCTGTCTCAACTTAAACCAAAAACGAATTTCTTGAAAAATAGCTTTTCGTACAGAGGAGCAGCGTATTGGAACAACATCCCAGTAAACTTGTTGAAGACCCTAAGAGAATCAACAAGTTTAAAATCTGTCCATCATCTATTAAATAATTACATCTTGTAAATAAGTAAATAAGTATATTTTGTAAATAAGTATAATTTAGTTTATTAGTTCCTTCTTTTATAATGCATTTATTTTCCGCACGGCCCTTTGAAAATCACCTATGTGAAAGGTTACCGTGTTTAAAGATCAACAATAATAATAATAATAATAATAATAATAAGTGCCGAAATTTGGTTTTCGCTTCGCGCGAACAAATTCGCCCAAAAACGGGATTAAATAATAAATCGATACCTTCTCTTGTTTCGTGATGTAAATCACGTTTTCCAAGCACACGAAATCACTTAAGCCCTTAAATCTTCAGTTACAACGTCACAACTTACAAGTAAAATTCCTATAAAATGCCATCAGTAAAATTCATGACTCGCTCATATGGTTACCACTTACCATCAGGAATGATTATAAATTTAAAAATATGAAATATATTTCCTGACGATGACTGAATTTTAGTCGAAACACGTTGGTTCAAATTTAGCAACATTTCTCCCAGTCGTGATGATAAACTTTATTTAACCAGGCTAAAATTATCAGCAGAAGCTGTAAAAAACATTAACAAATTGTTACAAGTAAAATAATGAAGTTTATGTTGCAGAATATAAAATTATTAAAATATATACAAAAAGTTTGCTATTTACAATGATGTGGTTTTCTTTATAAGCTATAGGTAGCGATTTTTCTTTTAAAACTTGAGAGCGAATTACTTTCTCTTATATTTTTTGGAAGAGAGTTCCATATGGAAGCTCCATCATACATGAAACTCTTTTTCATATTGTTTGTGTTTGGCTTGGGCAAACGTATGGTACTTGAGCTGTTACGAAGACTGCGGTTTAATATTTCTTTTTTGAAAGTGAATAATTCTTTGAGACAATTTGGCCCCATGTTATTGAGCGTTTTAAACATTATTTTTGCCTTTGCTTTCATTCTTTGTTCCTTGAGTGGTTCCCATCCTAATATATTTAGCACAGTTTGTTGATCTACCTCATTAGGCACATATGCTATCACACGAGCAGCTCTGTTATGAAGTTTTTGGAGACGCGTGGATTGCGTTTCACCAAATATATTCCAAACTTTACAGCAGTAGCTAAAGTATGGTTGAATTATAGCATTGTATACGGAAACGAGTGTTTTTTTATCAACATATTCTTTAATGCTTTTGACAGCCAATATTTCAGATGATATCTTTTTACATATATTATCTGTATTGCTCTTCCAACACAAATTTTCATCAACAGTCACGCCTAGTGTTTTACATTCAAAAACCTGCTTTATGGGTATGTTTTGAATGTGAATTTTAAGTTGCTGAACAGAAGCTTTTTTCCAGCATCTGTTTAGTAGCAATAATTTGAAATAATTAAAAAGTTTTCGGGCTCGTATTGTCAGCGGACATCTTACAGAAAGTGTGCAGTTCTGTGCACAATGCAAAAATTTCAATTTTTCACAACAAGTTCGCTGAAAATGCGAGCCTGCGGTACTGGGAGAAAAATTGTGAATATGACCAGCGGAAAAGCTACAATATTAAAATGTTTATTTTCGAAGTTACCGTTGTTTTATATTTTATTAAACGATTTCATGTTTGTCAATAGAGCCCCCCCCCCCGGAAAATTTAGTTCTACAGGTAATGATATTCATACTTATCAACGACGATTAGCGTTAAATGCCTACAACTAATTAAATTGTACTAAAGCAAAAAACATCACTTAAAATTGAACAAAATATATGGAAATGATAATGATAATAATAATAATAATAATAATAATAATAATAATAATAATAATAATGAAAACTTTATTAATAGAACATTTATAGATATATACAATTGTAAATCTCACTTCTTGAGGTAACCTACAATTGACTACTTGAATCACTTATACATGCATGGTTATAATTTTATATACAAAAATTGCTACTCATTTATAGAAATAGTTACTTTAAATTTTCATTAGTTCGGGATTTGTCCATTCTTTATTTCTACAGCAA